TATGCCTGAAAACTGGCCAACCTAGGGAACGCAGCCACTTTGCAAAAGACATTTTTATACTTCCCACTCCTCTGTCTTTGGTTTTCTTCACTTTACATTAGTTTTGATTTCTTCGGTAAATATGTGCATCTGAATATCACTAAAATCAGCATGGGTCAAACCTGGTGAGCTGAACCTGAACAGTTAATGTCAGGTGTTTGATACGCTCTTGGGTGCTTCCAGCACAACATTGATTTTTCTGCCTGCAGTCTCCTGTTGAACTGCTGTCCTCCATTTTGCTGACTCTTCAACTGCATCTTGACAGTGTATCTATCCCCAGTTTTAGGTCTCAACTAGCATCAGGGCAGAGGTGTAAATATGTGTATTATCTAATCAAGAAGAGTGAATGCCAAGGCTTAAGAAATAATAAAATGCATACTGTCTGGAGACTTGTTTTCCAACCTCTAAATGCCTTTTTTTCCCTGTCTTTTTTTCTTTCTTGCATCTTAAGAAAAAAAAAGCACAACTCTAGAAAGTTAGCTAAGCAAATTAACACTAGTTCCATTATGTTTCACTGCACTTATATCCAGATGCATCAAGATTGCTTTTGGATGTCATAGTTGTAAGTATTATAAAGAATGCTGTCACAAAGATTTCTGTGGGTCTCGTGCACACAGTTGCCGTAAATCACTACTTCTCTTAGCAGCCACTATAGTAATAGTAACCATGTTGAATTCCTGTACTGTTCCTAAGGAGAGAATATTCTAATCATCAGTTCAGATGGGAGAACTCGTATAGATAGACATTGAAAATGAAAGTCATTACTACTAAAAATGCAATTTATCATGAATTGCTATGGATATATGACTGCTTACAAAACTTTAAATGCAGCTCTCTAGGGTGAAGGCAAAAGAAAACCATATGCAATTGTTGAAAAATAAGCTGTGAAAAGCATTTCTTACTGCTGTAATTTCTTGGAAGCTGAACCTTCTAAATGACCAGGGATCCAACAAAGCATGAAAATTTATAGCTTCTTAAGATGATATTCAGTGTTTTCCTTATTGTACATTTTGAGTCTATGGGATGCAAGACAATATATAATTTTCCAACAGGATTAATAGAGCCTCTTTAACTATAAATGAGGAAACGCTGTGGTCATAGTGTGGTCAATTCTGTTCAGGAGTCTTACATTGTAAAACTACATCATCACACTTTGCCTCAGCATCCCCACAGTTCTGCTTCAGTGTCCCTACATTCTCTAGCAATTATTAATGTTGCCTTTATAAAAAATCGAAACAAAACACCAACATTTATATCAATAAAATGTTTTCATTGACATGGTGTTTCAAAAATACTTTACAAATATATTCTCATGTTTATACCCAGAAAGTCCTGTAAGGTGAAAACAGTATGTTGTAGTCGTTGAAGGTAGGCTCCTGTATACTTCAAAATCACCAACGCTTCAAGGCAGGAAAGAAGAAAATGTTAAATGAGAAGGAAATTAAGACAGTCACAGGACCTTATTTCAAACTGCAAACGGTACAGTGTCTGATGTCAATCTCTTCGGTTTCAGCATACAATCTGGAATAAAATGGAATTCCTGAAGGTAGAGAGAAACACACATACCAGTCCTGGATCATCCAAATCACTTCATAGTAGCAATCATTGTGAAATGTTCTTTGTACTTGTTAGTGTGTAAGGAAACAATCTTTTCTATACATATTGAAGGTGCAGTTATTAGATATATACACCTTTTGCTCTGGAATTAAATGAAGATACACAACTTGACACTGTCTGCTGCTGTTGTTTTTCCTCCCCTTTATTTACATTCTTCCTTAAAAAGAACTGAACTTGCCACACGAAGATCACAATGTAAGGTTTTCCCTATAGAAGTCTTTGATATACAGATACTTTCTAGAAGAGGTTTGAGATTGAAATGTGAGATCCAGACAGACATACAAGTCAATAGGAGACATTACAAATCTATAAGCTGAATTCAGGTTGCAATTTCATATAATCCTTTCATAATTGCTGAGGAAAACCTGCCAAGCTCTGAAAAACTCTAAACTAAAGCTGCCTGGTATTTGGGTTTGGACATTCCTAGATTTGTTTCCTTCTCTCAATATAAGCATAAAACCACCAACCACTGTTCAGACTAAATTTAGGAAGGACAGATACCCAACCATCAGATGTTGCATCAGAAATCTCGTTACACTGCTTATACAGGTTAGAATGATAATTTCTGTCTCATTCTGAGGCAGCAACCCACATTAAGTACTATTTTTAATATATGTTTGTGTAACAAAACAGTCTTTTTTTGTGTAAACTACAATTTTATACTATAAGTCTCTCACCTGCTGTATTAAATGCTACTGGAAATAACACTGTAATCATCTTCTGACACTTAACTTCAATGGTTTCATGGCCTCAGCCATGAAGTTCATGTTACTTTTACAAGTTTCACAGTTTTAAGGACTACTTTCCATAATCTCATGAACTATCTTCAAATAGCTGCAAATGGCTTTTGACTTGGAGAAAAACCTCTGAAACTAAAGCTGTTTCGTAGTTACTCCCAGCAGGGGTCCTTAGCTGGTTTTCTGATCAAATGCAGCATGTAACTTCCGGAGAGAAGGGTCAATTTTCATGGGGCTTTTCATTCAAACGAGCTTTCCAACAGTATATGGAAGGCTAAAGGCTGATTGTATCTTGCTAGAGGTATCACTGAAGTCATGTTTTTGGTAGCAGAATAACATACACATTTCTGATTTGGTTCCAGCTCATTAATTCAGCCTAAGGCATATACTTGAACGACAGAAACACACTCTTATAAAGTCACTAGGTGTTCTTTCTGGACAACATTGTCTGGAGAGAGATCTCATTAAAATCTGTATTATAACTATAGTCTTCCTCATTTGCTAAGTACACAAGGCAAAAATACATCTTTATATAGGTTGGACTATCAGTACTTCTCACAAAGCTACAGAAAAAGTGAAAGTCACACATAGCCTACCATACAGTTTTATATCACACAATGCTGGGTGTAATTTACAAATGTGTCATGGCATAGAGAAATCTCAGAACATTTACAGAGTGTATGCAAGGTGACTTTAGGCTCATGTCTGAAAATGAACCAAATGAGTAAGTCTATTGAGAGAAAACTGTAGTATTAACATACTGCCCTGGTGAGCTAGAAGATTAACAACAAACATTGAACTATCTGGAAATAAGTGCTGGATCTTTAAAGCATGGACACTACATACTGCTCAAGATCTTTTGATGTGTTACATATATAAACATGAGGTAGGTTTTGTTCGATTACCTAGAATATTGGAAAGAATATTTGAAAAAACAGAAAGACCATTGAATCAATGTAAGCTTACTGTAAAACAGAAACAAAAACAAACACAGAGAAATAGTTCTTGTTCTATACCAAATGAACTTTCTGGAATAAAATTGAGTCTGCTGCAATTCAAGTCTAAATGTAAATGCAGGCTAAATTTCAATGCAAAAAAAAAAAGGATGGAACCACAATATTCCTTTCTCATGTGACTTGCATACAATTACAGATATGTACAGTTACAAATTGATTTTACACAAGCACTAGTAGGCCTACTAAGAACTGGACTGATTTCAGTCTCACTGGCTACTCAGCTTGGTGAGAATCTCACTTCTGTTTTCAGATGCCATATTACAATATATTCTAGGCATACCTAAAAATGGATGAAAGAATAAAATAGTTATAATAAAATATGTAATTCTTTGATCACTTACAGCACTAGCTTCACTAAGCAAATGATAAATTCTAAGACAGCTTTTATTTTACTCTGGAGTAAAAACTATTGACAACTTTTTGATATTTAATAAGAACTTATGAAAGTGGTGTAAGCACAACACTCAGCCAATATATGTCAGATAAGTCTCATTGGAATAAAGCTAGGAAATCAGTCCCCTATGCTCTTAGTGGATTTATTAAATGCAGCATGATTTCAAGTTTAAATTGCAAGCCTTGTCATCTAGATTTGCAGCTGTACAAGCAAGTGTAAAATACTACCAAGTCCACTGTAGTTTATTTTACAAAGACAGAGGCATTCTTTTGCTCTTATGTATGGCAGCTCAGGCCATTGCCTTCACAGAAATGAAAGGCTTCCCAGTCCAGTCTTTTATTTTTACCTTATGCTATAGAATTAGTATGGAGTTGTTTTAAATGAGTGAAAAATGTCCAGAATTGCCCCTTCCCTACTATCCATCCCTGTGGTACAGAGGTAAATATTTGTATCAGGGACACTATGAAGCAGTGATATAGAAGAGAGCTAGGCTGGCTGTGTTGGCATAATGTCCCAGCATGCACAGTAATTTGCACGTCCTAGTTTAAAACCTGGATTATATTTCAATTTTTAAAAACCTTACAAATGCTTTGAAAGTTACCTCATGTTTATAAGTAAGAATTTTTCTTTTGGGAAGTCTTTGCCTTTGTTTTTTCAACTCTTTCAGAGTTCTGGTAATTGCTATGGGAAGGCAGGGGCAGAATGGAGAAGGATCAATAAAAAAATCTAATGGAGCCTCACAGGGGAAGCCTGTTAAATAAGATAGTGTGCTGTGGCAGGATTTTACAACCAAGCACTCTAAGAATTAATGTATTAAAGAACAGCGGTCTAAATTATTGAACTCAGAATGGTTAACTGGCTAGCAACCATGAAATCACACAGTCACATTTTTACATTCAATTTTCAAACTAGAATACTGCTTCATGTAACTTAAAATACTTCTATATGTAACACCCAACTTGATCATTTTCCCCCGCTTGCTTTCATTCTGAAAGTGATTTCTACATTTTATGTTAAGTTAAAAGTATGTTGAGTAACTACTGCTAATACAAAATAATGATGCCCTCATACCTGTAAAAATAAAGTAAACTGTAAGAGGTCAGAAACTTGTTCTTCCACAGTAAGTGTGCTGTGCTTCCTGTCATACAAGATGTTGCCACTCTACAATGGTCTATTTTAGCCAAAAGCATTTCTTACCTAAAAAATGGATTCTTTAAATCAAGAATGTTACCAGATTTAAATCCTGTCTGGTCCACCATAGCCACCATCTGGATATCATAACTTTGTCTGCACCAGAAAGAGAAGCATGAAAAAAAGACGTAATGGAACTAAACCAGCTATAACATATTATGTGAAAAAATACCAGTGTAGTTACTGTCTGAGTAATAACCACTTAGCATAACAAGCAAAAGATATTTATTTCCACTGGTATCACTGGTATCAGTGTGAGGACCTGATTATTTAATCATCTCTAAAGAAGTAAAATTTAGAAGATGTTGAAGTGATTTTAAGAGTTTGCATCTGACAAAGATCATAATTTTGCTCTGATAGTACTCAGCAGTGAAAGGTCTTTTTCCCACTGACAGAAATACTATAAATTTCAACGTTAGCAAGTACAATCGGAGTATTTCATGAACAAAAATATCTAACCGGCCAAACAGCATTAGGTTCACTCTTGCCGTAATCCTGGATTTCACCAGGAAGATTTTTCACAGGACTTTTTTGCAAGAAACTGAGTTTACGAGGACCAACTGAGAAACTGAGAGCATTCCAAAATGCTGAAGCTGACCAAAACTGGTCTTCCCGCACAGGACAGCAACTGCAGAGTTGCATAGAGGTGCTATGTTGATCCCAAAAGCAGATTAGCTTTGTGGCAGGACTTGCTGGCTCAGTGCTAACACATGGTTAAACTGCTTCTCATTCTGAGTCTGACAAGGTCGCGAGCTCAGGTGTCTCTGAGCTATGCTCCATTGTAGATATGACCTATGTATTGACATATTTACAACAGTGGCTGTGTGATCACTGTGTGGCATACAGTGTTTCTTTTGTATATTAAAATGTGAATACATTTTACATTTGAAAGAGACATACCAAGATCTGTATTATTTTCTCCATGAGGTGTTTCTGAGCAGAAGATCTGGAAATTTTACAAGTCCCAAATAAAGTATTTGTTGCTGATGTGATTAAAGAGCCCTGGATGTATTACTGACAGCTTTGATGTCACTGCAATCACCTGAGCTGTCAGCATGCTTCCCTCCCTCCCCCCCACCCCCCGCCCTCAAAAAAAAAAGATTCACCTTCCTACAAAGAGGAGGTTCTGTTTTCTGTTAAAACTACACATACACATAAGCAAACCAGGCTGCACCTTGTGTGACCCAATCACTTGAGGATTGTTTTCAAAGCAAAGCATAGGAGTGGAGTTACCAAACATTTGACTGTTAGCAGGAACAGCAGAGAAGTCTGGTGAGGAAATACGCCCTCCCAAAACCAACCATCTTCATTAGCTCAGGGGAAGGACAAAGCACACATGAAAAGCACTATTCTTAAATAGGGGAGCACATCCATAAGGAATTTTTTTTAAGATTTAAAATCATAATGGATTTGGGATCAACTCTGCTTCTCCTTGTCTCTGCACAGGACTTGCTGAGAGACAGGGATGTTGGGGCTTCAGGCAAACAACCAGTCTGCTGACGAAGACATGGCCAGAAGTTACACTACCAGAAAACGACTGAACATGACCTGAGAAAACTGACATGTGTGAAAGATAGCAGAGTAGAAAGCTCACAACAGCTGCAAGTAGCAGTGTGAGGGAAGGCAGGGTGTGACAGGTGGTTAAGGAAGGTATGTGAGAAGGAATATCACAGGTAAATGGAGTGGAACATGGAGACCTTTTGGTGAGCAGAGTCTCACAAGACCAACAGTGCCTACATAACTGTACCAGTGATACCATATAAATTAGTAATGGTATCAGAAATAACAAATGTGTGTACAAGCGTACCCAAAATTACCTGGTGTCTTTTGGGTACAGCCACACTACAAAATCTGCTTGGGAAGCTTTGACACTTACCGCTTATTGGCAACAAGTAAGACCTTCCCTGAGAGAGTTTCCCCCTCTTTAGCAAAGAGGGGTGTCTGAAGAAGGCAGCGTACTTGATACCAGTGAGTGAGAGGTTCTGTCGGTGCAGTGGACAACCAAACAGTTACCCTAAAACAAATGAGAAAAACTATCTAGACTTTCTCTCCTGTCTTCTCCTTTCAGAAACAATTTAAGTTGTTACACCTTTATGTATGTGAGGCCTCAACTGAACTTTAAACTGCCTTTAAGTAAACTGGGAGAGCGATTCTACACTGTGTTGGGAAATCAGCACGTTATGCCTCATTTTCTTTATCTTTAAAAAAGACTCTTCAGACACCTGTTTTCTCTTCTTTCCACACTGCCAGGGCAGAGGATACTAATTTCTCACTCATCTTACCACTCAGACATTTCAACAAATTACAGGAAATGTTTGTCCTGAATGTGGCAATGCGATCCTTCACAATGGTAGTTTCATCCTTAAACAACACCCCCAAGAAGGTCCTGTATCTAGTTTTCACTTGCCAGAGATACTTCAATAATATATTGAAAGGTGTTGTAGGTGCAAAGAAAGGCATAACACAGGTAATACTGCGAGCCTTCAAATGCTAAGACAAAGAACTTCCAGAATTGTAGAAACATGAAAAAGCTGCTTATTAAGAAACTGCCTACTCTAAAATGGAGGCCTTCTCAGTGGAGGATTTCATTCAGTTCCTACAAGTCTGCAGTTTTCTCTTCTGTTTTAACTGATATGGAGTTTCTGGTTCCTTTTTTAAGATTAAAAATTTTACTATCAGCTGTTAAAGTAAATACAAATGCACATATGTCCATTTTATTTTAATGGATATACTACTCTGAACTCTTGACAATCCTTACTTCAAAGGCTAATAAAAGGCATTTATCAAAACAAATAAATAGAAATACATTTTACAATTTATTGAAAAAAAAATATCACTTCTTTTAGCACTAGATCAATTTAACTGGGAAATCAACAAATCTTATCGAAGAGCCAAGAAGTCCAATGGCATCCTGGCCTGTATTAGAAACAGTGTGGCCAGCAGGACTAGGGAAGTGATCATCCCTCTGTACTCTTGAGGCTGCACCTTGAGTACTGTGCTGAGTTTTGGGCCCCTCACTGCAAGAAGGACATTGAGTTGCTGGAGCGTGTCCAGAGAAGGGCAACGAAGCTGGTGAAGGGCCTGGAGAAAAAGTCTGATGAGGAGTGGCTGAAGGAAGTGGGGTTGTTCAGCCTGGAGAACAGGAGGCTGAGGGGAGACCTTATCGCTCTCTACAACTACCTGAAAGGAGGTTGTAGCAAGGTGGGGGTCGGCTTCTTCTCCCAAGTAACAAGCAATAGGACAAGAGGAAATGGCCTCAAGTTGCACCAGGGGAGGTTTAGGTTGGATATTAGGAAGAATTTCTTCACAGAAAGGGATGTCAAGCATTGGAACTGGCTGCCTAGGGAAGTGGTAGAGTCACCATCCCTGGAGGTATTTAAAAGTCATGTAGATGTGGTGCTCAGGGACATGGTTTAGTGGTGGACTTGGCAGTGTTAGGTTAATGGTTGGACTTGATAATCTTAAAGGTCTGTTCCAACCTAAATGATTCTATGATTCTATGAAATACAGGTAGCTTAAATCTATGTATTGACAATTTGAGCGAGTTTATCTAATTTTCACCTACTTACGATACTAGATGAATGTCCCAATTTTCAAATAAATGCCCGGCGCTGCAGTGAAAAATTTTCCCAAGTCTAGTGAAATTTTCTCCATTTCCAACTTGTTAGCTAGTACTTGCAACCTGCTCTCCTTTTTGCCCACAAACACAACCAGCTCAAATGGGAAAATCCAGCGTATATTCAATGCTGCTGCTTTACTTAAAATGTAAAACAGAAAGGCATATAATATTACAAAGCAACAGTATTGCGTGGAACAGTGCATTTGACCCTCAACAGTTCCTGGATGTGGTCTACCATGGATAATGTGCACCTCAACCAATGGGAAGCAAGATCACCACCATCTAGACATACTGCTAGCACTACATTATCACACTTGTTGTTACCTCTAGAAGGCATAATTTCTTTCATATGAAGGAATTACATTACAAACAAGGTCAGCACCAGATAAAGGTCTAATTCTGGCACACTTCATATGAAAGATGTGATTTTTTTCCCCTGTAGTGAGTATTTAGTAGTGAGAAGGAAAAAGGACTTACAGTGATCCTACAAATGCTACATCAAACCAGAAGGCCAGGCCATGGATTAGTCCGGACTGCATCATTTGGAAAACAAAAGGGATTTCCACTCTGCAGGAGAAAAAATAATATGCTGCCAAGATAATTTCCAAAAAGTACTGGAAATTCCACTAGAAACCCACCTTGTACTAATTTATGTATTTTCATTCTTATTCATCAGTTTATGTCTCAGTTTTCCATATATTTAAAAGAATATGCTCTTTTTCTCTGTGTCAATAGAATTACCCAATGGTGCGGATTTAGGTGTTAGTTTTTTGTGTTCCTTATTTGATAGTAGAATCAAATATGCCACTAGTGTGATCTGCACTTGTGGCAACACTGCAGACTGTTATAAATACAGGTGTTCAGCCTTTCCAGTGGAAAATTTCCCATTCTCAGTGAAGAATTTTTTAGTTTAAATACTATTTTGAACAAGAAAATGTTCCACTACAAATTTGACAAACGGAACTACTACCGGAACCAGAAGGAAAAATTGAGCTGCTTGAGCAAGAGCTGGAATATTTTCCCTTCCAAAAGAACTACTACTGGCTATGCAGTTGAACGCAAATCTCACCTACTCTTGCAGAAACATAATAAAATTAGCATTCAGGTATGAATGTGTTAGTTCTGAGAACTACTGAAGGAAGTCAATGCTAGCCAGCTGAAACTGGTAAGCAATTCTCCAGCTGTTTCCTCACTCTTAGAGCAATTCTCTCTCACTAGACCATGTTATTTATACAATGAAGTGAGTCATGTTGAAAACAACAAGGGTTCAGATTTTCAAAGACAGTCTGTGATATTTTCCCCAGATGACAGTGTCTTGCAGGGACTGGAAGTATTCCCTCAAGTTCTCCCATATGGTACATTTTATTTCACAGATGTACTGAGAAGGAGGCTTCCCAGCTGTCATTCTGGGACACAAGGGATGCAGGTTGATTTATATAGAAGACTTTCCAACTAAAAATTTGAAGGAGCTCTAGAGGGAAGTAAAGAGGTACAGCTGACTTCTGTTAGACTGGAAAATATTTTTTAAAAAAGAGTTACACAAGAGTTCAGCGAGGCTGCTTGTGATGACACCATTTTACAATGTCTTTTAGGATGTCTACACAGAAAAACAAAAATTGCCTTCTAACTAGATTTAAATGTGTCCTAACATATAATGCTAAGAACTAAACACTGTCCTCCAGATCTGATTTTATCCCTTTCAGTAGGAAAATTTTGTGAACCGATCTCTGGTGTTTCACAGGCTCATGAACAGGCTTCTCTGCTAATACTAGACAAATTGTCACGCAGATGAATGCTCCAGTCCTTTATGAGTGGTGTACTAATCATTCTGGCATGCCACCTTTGCTCCTTTATGTCCACCACCAAAGCTTCCTCTGTCTCTAAGCACCAACAATCAACAGCCAGTTACAAAAATGAAAGATTAAGAGTAGGTTGCTGGCATCTGCTGACCTATGCAAATCTTCCTCCGCAGCTTCCATGAAGTTAACGGTGTACTTCACTGTCCGGGCCATCAGAATTCTCACATCAAAAGTATCCTATGGGGTTAAAAAAAAAAAATTGCAAGTGTTATCATTCTGTCTTGTAAGCATATAAACTTGTTTTCTATTTAAAAAAAAGGGAAAAAAGACAAAAATCAACCATTGCCCCAATAAACTTATTTTAAGTCTTTTGGTTTTTTAGCATCACTTAGAACACTATTTTGCAATGTTAGGATTTAATATATTTGATAGCTTACATACCTATCAAAGACTTTTTATTCAACCTAGAAACAATAAAATTTGTCCAGAAATTGATCACTTGTAAAAAAAAAAAAATGGTGGGTTTATTTGGCTGGTTTACTTGTAGGGTTTTTTTTAAACTACACACATTGTAATGTGATCTTCTGCACTGCACAGTTGGGTATGTTACAGAATCAGTTTAACCAACCTAACTTTTTAATTATACTCTATTCTTTTAAATGTATTCTTTTGTCTGAATAACTTCAGTTAGCATTAGTTAGCCGGAGAAGGAATTCCAGGTCACATATTGTAAACTCATCCTGACCTGGTTGCTTGGCTACGAGGGGACCTGGAAGAAGATCAGGAAGAAACTTTGTCAGCAGAAGCTGCAAACTATCAAAATAAGGACAACAAAAGGCCTGTCAGGAGTTTGGAGGCAGAGAACCAAAGAGAAACAGTTGAGCCCCCAGATCACGAATTACCATTGGACAAAGAGGCGCGTGGACAGCGTGTTAAGAGACTGACCATTGGACCGAAAGGCACGTGAAGGGCACATGGAGAGGGGGTGCATAGGTTGTAAGGGTTTAAAAACCCAGGTTTTCTTTGTTTCGGGGTCCCTCCCCAGAGGCACCCAGCTCAAGCTGTCATTCTGCTGTACCATCCAAATAAATTAATTCTTTTTCTAAGATCGGACATCTGAAACTCTGCTGCGGGAGACCTAGGGCAAAGAGATTTCTTTAGCAGGTAAGTTGAACTAAGATAGTATGGAAATACTTGAAAATTAAATTATGAGTTATAGGAAACAAAATTACTTAATACAGATTGCCCTCTAGAAAAAAGTTAGGAGTAGTCAGTCAGCAAATGAAAACTTTTCCCTTCATTTTTCTTTCTTTAATGACATGTACTAATCCTAATCTGTCACTGTGCACAAACTCTTTCATAAGTAAAGGAAACTCTTAACGTAAAGACTTGTGTCACATGCCCCCCACTGAACTCATCTAAGAACTAAAATCTATCTACAAAGTAAGGGGAAGCCAAGGAGATATGTGATTTTTTAGAGGAAATAACAATTTAATGTGGCTTTTATTGGGCAATGCCTTTCTGATCTTCAAGGGTGGAAGAATCTCAGCTGAGAGATCAAAGCCAAACATGCACTTCATATAGGATGCAAGTGTGTGCCGCAGTCCTACAGATTACTCCATTCTCTAACTGAAAGCCGAAGAGTCTGCTCCGAGAATGACCAGGCTGTAGTCAAAGATATGGCTGATACTTACGAAGACAAATGAGAGTTTTCTCTTATCCATTTCAAGTAACAAGAACAGTCAAGTGCAGATGGTCACATCATGGTCTGATGGTCTTTCCAGACTTCTGGACAGGTTTTAGGGTCTCCATGAAACAGCAGCTACACTGTTATCGCTACTTAATCTAGTTAGCCTAAAGCTAGCCAAGATTTGTTGAAGTCAAATTTCTGAAAGCAAACCTTTTCATTGCACCTACAATGGAGCATTATACTGAGGCAGGGAGTGGAGGGTGGGGATTGTTTAGGGTTTTTCCCCAGAGAGGTGAGAAGGATTTCTCCTACATTCTTTCTATCTAGGCACCACCTAAACTTTTACTAAAAAGAAAGAAAGAGAACAGCAGGTGCTAGATCCAAGTTACTAATAAAATAAGGATATTTACATATTAAAAAAAGGTTGTTTTATAAAACAGAAACCTGTTTGCTTGGCTGCTTTCTCTTTTCCTTCAATTTGTGGATCAGAAATGGGAAAGGAAAAACCAAGGTCTAGTCACTTGTTTAAGAGAGAGGAAACACTGAAGGAAGCTACTTGCATGTTAGGAAGACAGTTGTTCACACGCTGTGGCTTCCTAATGTATTCATAGCAAAACCAATATTACCCATACTAGTTAACCTTTAACAGCTGCTCTGTTCACACTCACAGAGTTAGTTCATGGCTCTCTACTCAACAGTCACAGAGCTCTGTTAAACAAGGAGGCTAGCGTACCTGTAGGACTTTGTGGAGGGCACGAAATAGGAAGAGGGAAAACCACAAAAAATAACCCCCAGACATACAAACCTACCACAATAGGTTGTCCGAAATACTCATCCACAGCTGCACTGCGCAGACTGGACAGGTTGACCCCATAAAAGCATTCTTGGTGCCTAGAAACAGTAACACATGAAATATTTAGGGAAAAATGTTTTTTCTTGGTTCCAAACAGACCCAGGTACAGTAACGATAAATGGCAGGCAAAGTGTGGCTAAGCACTTCCTTCCCTTTCTTGTGTATGCCAAGAGGCCAAACTGCAGCCCTCCTTAGCTTACTTTACCTTCCCCACAGATATCCTATACAGCACTGAGGTGACATGATCCCCTCAAATGGACATATGGAGACATTTCACACTATGCTTCTGAAAAAAACCCACACAGCAAGCAGAGAATAGGAAGGGCTGAGGCACTCTTAAACTACTTTTGTAATCTTGAGCTATTCCAGAATTGGGGGTGGACCTTGTATAAAACAAAATAGTGATGACAACACCCATATTACAGGTCTGATTCTCTTTATTGACATTAAAGAGGAAAATAAAGGTCATCCTATACCAACGGAATGGGGAAAAAATAGTATTTTTATCTTACCAATTTATGCAAATGTGCATTTAATGTATATTCAGACTATTTCCAGTATGAAATTTGAAATCAAAATATACATGCTTGCCATAATCTTCTTCCTCTGTATAACCCTCTTATCAACTCACTGAAAGGTTTAATAGGTATCTTTACTTCCAGATAACATAAACAAAAGGGAATGGAGAGGGGAAACAGCAAGGAAGCTCAACTCCTTGTGATGGAAGTGTCTAGATACAAAGCCCTGGTCAAGCCTTCCAAGACTTCAGAAGCACTTAAAAAGGGAAACTTTAAATGTTTGTCCTCATTGTTACAGTATCATACAACTCCTAAACTATCATAACTTTTTTCAAAGTGGATAAATCAGTCCAAACCAATCTGACAATATCCCTTTAATACTGATAAACTCTGCATTACTGGTTCTGTCCTAAGGGCATAAAGGGAGAATGCCCAGATGACTGTGTGCCTTAAAGATACCTCAGAAGATCTCTTTAAGGAAAGAACTGAAATAAGCACAACAGAAGAAATCAGCTGACACCAATAACTGCAAGTGTTCTTTTACCCTTCTCCATATGTTTGCTGTACTGTATAACTGAGTTGCTTATTTATCACTGAGGACACGCACAGACAAAATGCACGCTATTTTTAACCACTTATATATTTAGGCTTTGTATCTTTCTATCTTTGCAAAGTTTTCACCAACAAAGAGACCAGTCTGCTCTTCTGTGGTAGACTATACATTATCATGCTTTTAGGAATGATTACTGGTAAATGCAAATTAATATGCAACTGTGAAGCACAACAGTAAGCCAATCTGTAGACCTGAAGAGAAACAAAACATACTTACACAATCTCATAATTATTATTTTTGTACAGATCCAAGACAATAATTCTAGATGTATGAGAAACATGTAGCCTTTCCTTTGTGTAGTAAACAGGCTATGCTAACTAATGCATCTAATGTTAGAACACACAGCATGGTTTTTGCATAGGATTTTGAAGGTTTTTTAAAGTCCTGGTGCCTTTACCAGATGAAAGTTCAAACTGCAAATTTAGATATTTCTTTCAGTCTTTTGCTCAAGTACTATCATCCAACTGGATCCCAAACCATATCCAATCTCTAAGACATAGGTTTTAGCTAAATAGGAAAGGATTTATTACACACAAAACACATCTTCTGTTCCAAGTAACAAAGCTGGACAATGAATGAAAGCTGCTTCCTGATGCCTGGAATCTGAAGCTTAGCAAATCACAGGCTGTCACCAACCAGTTCCTGATGGTTTATATCAAACATCCAAGAAAGCCCTGAGAAAGTGCTTTGATTGAAATAGGACTTTTATAGCTCTGGATCTATCAGGATATCCAGACCTTTTAATATTAAGAACATGAATATCCTAGAGTGGTGCAGAAACAAAACTACTGCATTCTCACTCAGAACATTTTGATCCCACATTTGGTTGAAGACATTAGAAGCACTAATTTGTTTGTCTTTAGAGCACTCGGTAACCTCAGGAGTATTTAATAGTCTTTCACATTCAATGTCCTGGACATACCTCCATACAAAATTACAAGTATGTGGATTGACAGGAGGACTGATACTATAGCCCTCTGCTCAGGGGATATCTCAAGACAGCAATAAATTATATTGTAAGCAGACAAACTATTTTGTCTAGGAATCAAACAGAACCTGATATACAAGGAGTATCATCAAGGGTAATTGTGTGACATTTCTGTGGTTAGTTTGGTTGAAACATTCTCATTCAAAAATTAAAAGTAGGTAATAAAAAGATTTGTCAAAAATGGGAGGCATCCTTTTGCAAAGATGGGTGAAGGAAAGACTGCAGTATGTTGCGATTTACATACCAACCTGATTGCTACCATGATTACAAAGTATTACTACAGTCTGTGATAGTAATGTCAATGACAAAAACATTCTTGGCGCAAAGAGAAATTAGTTACTAAAGCAAACTTGAAAAAACTGGTTTTCCCCTTCATGCAATTCTCTGAAAGCCTTGCAGTGATTGACAGATAATTCATCTTATTAAATGTATGCACATATAATATCCAGAATCAAATCATGCCAGCTAGACATAAATGAAGTTCTCTTTTCTTTCTTTTTTTTTTCAGAAGGAAGATGGTGTATTTGTGTTAACAAGCTATAAGAAACTAATCTAGCTGGACTATTCAGTCCCAACTGTACAATTTTTAAACAACAAAAGGCAGCGGATTTTTTCCCACCACAAACAACATTACCATATACCTCAGTGTTCATGGAGGTACACACACACACATTATATCTACCCCACAGGTATTCGACAGAAGTCTTACATTTATTACAAATGAAGATGAAGCATCCCAAGCAGTCTGAAATGAAATGCTTTCATATTGGCAGTAACATCCAGTCCTGTATAGACCTGGAAAAAAAAGCTGTATTTCTGCTTCAAACTACTAAGTATGTATCTATTTTCTTCATTAAGTGATGAAGAATCTGCATCATGGTACAATATTGTTCTTCAGTCTTGTAATTTATAAAAATATATAATTTACATGTCATGTATACAAGCAAAAAAACCCCACAACAGTGTCTTTGGGAAGAGGGACTAGAATGACAGTTGAGATGCAAAAACTTACCAGAAGTTACTTTTACCTTCTTTTTTCAGTCTCTTAACACAGAAAAATACTGTTGCAGTTTTTGTGATTGTAAATATACAATGCAAACATTTCATAACTGGCTCAACCTATACAGTGAGACAAAAGAGCACAAACTGGCTGTATAAAGCAACATTGCCAGCAAAGGATTCAGCATGTAAATCACTCAAATTTCTCTCACTCCTTAATTACTATAGAAATAGTAAGATTTTGTCATAGCTCTACTTAGAGACAGCCAGAAGAAACCTTCTAAGTATGAGCAGTTACACTGTAACCTGGTCATGGAAGAAAATTTTGTCTTTAATCTGAGAAACCAACAAAAGGTTTGACGAAGACCACTTAATATTCACCTTCCACATTGCAAGCTGAAAGAACAGTTGAAAGACTGCATTTATAATCTTCCAGAAGTTTTAAAAATAGTTAACCCTGGAGCTCCACAGTACCTTTTATGCAAAACCTTTAAATAATAATCTATAAAAGGCTTGATTAATTTATAAATTAATTGATCTGTGTCACATGAAGGACTGGAGATCTTTAAAAATAAACCTGCCCTTTGCTGAAATGCAATAATCTCAATTTCTCATCATTAGAATGTCACTGTAAATGTTTCCTCCTACATAGAGCACAGCAACAGCTCAACGATTGATAGTAGCAGTAGAACATTCCAAGGCAAAAGGAGTACAGCCTCCAGTTAAAGCTGCATGAAAAATTTAGGTGGACAGAAAGTAACTACTAAATTGGAAATTGTTCAGGCCATGGGAATTAATACTTATTCTCTGTGAAGACTGCCAAGGAATCCTTCTTGTGCTCAGGCACGGGACTTCAGGCAATGCAATGATCACCACCCGCAGCATCCTATGCTTTGGTGTAACAAAGGAAACACTAGCACCTGATTCACAGTCAATTCTTTTTCTCACAATGCATGCTCCATGGAGTCAATTTCTCTTTCAAATAGAGTCCCAGTCAGCTCTAGCACTTCCTGAGAGATCCTTCAGACTTGCACAATAAAAAGTATGACAGTAGGCCAGAGCAGAAGTGAATATGGAAAACATAAAAGCATTCTCTTCCAATGTTGACAGATAGTTCATGCTGAATCAAAGAACTGATTGAATTTTTAACCTTTACTGAATCTTTGATAAAAATTAATGTCATAAATAATCATTACCAAAAATTGGCTCTGGAGTAGTGTTCCATGTACAGCTGCTCATCAGAAAAAGGAGCCAAATGAATGTCACTGTATGTTGGGAACATCATTCCTAGTAAACAAAAGACAGTATCAAGTAGAAGGGCAAGTGTTCAAAAAGTGCTTGGACAACGCTCTTAAATACATGGTTTAATGTTAAAGGTGATCTGTGTGGGGTAAGGAGTTGGACTTGATCCTCATGAGTCCCTTCCAACTCAGGATAGTCTTACAGACATCTCTACAGGAATGTCTTCACTAGCGAGAAACTACCAGTTCAGAAGCAGCGATTGTCATACACTTCAGATATCTTAACATTTAGTTTCATTAATATATGGGTTACTGAAATGTGAATATGCTAAAGCAGTTAGTAAAAAACTCAAGCCAGAACAACTTATAGAACAGACTAGAATACTTTCATAAAGTCCTAATAATTTTATGGTCCTATATCAAATATTTGAATTATTTAACTTCCTTCAAATGAAATGAAATGCTAGCTCTTAAATACCTTCTCAACACTCTCCAGTAGAATTACAGCACCTTATTTGCTTACAGCTAACCTAATAAATATGATATCTGTGTGAAGTATTTGCATGAAAGCTCAGACTTGCTCTTGAATTAAACTCCTGGGTATGGTTTTGGTCAAATTCGGAAGAACTGCTGTTAATGAATAAAGTAGTTAAGTAGTTATATGCACTTCACTCTTAAGACTTTTATCCAGGAAACTCATAGCACTTCAGCGTAAATACTGAAAATTTCATAATCCAAAAATGTGTATTACACCTTTTTTTTTTTTTTAATAGATGCTGAAGTTGAGAAACAGAATTTTATTTCCATGAAGTGGCAAATCAATGATAGAACAGGGAATGAAATCCTGATCAACGAGTTTGCATTAATGCATTTTCATTAGAATCTCACACTCTAATTAGTGTGATTAGTGCTTATGAAACCAGAAGAATTATTTTCCATTATTTTCTGTGGACAGTGCATCAGACGGCCTAGCAGCTTAAATGAAAGCCCTTGTATTCTGTTGTGTGTCAGCGGGAGCAGAAAACAAAGCCTGGTCAACTACACTTGAGCATACATCTTCACCCTTTTTTAATCTGGTTGAGGAGGAGGACAGGTAAAGGAGGGGAGGGAAAAGGAAACAGCTTTCCTTTTGTAAGTACATCATGCAGAAAGAGTCCACGGGATTTTAAATAAAGAACAACACCCACTCACAAAATAGTCATGCTTTTTAAAACTGGCCATGGGGAGAATGTTAACAAGTTTGCAGAGAATTTGGGACAGAAAGTTTCCAAACCTAACTGGTACTAAATATTAGCAACTTACTCAAAATGTCACAATTTCAGCTCACTTCTTAGACAATCATTAAGTTTAATAATAACCACATAAGCTGATTTATCCCCACTGTACAAGTGAACAATCAGAAAGCTAGGCACATATCTTTAAAAGCATTTACTCATTTAAAACTGAAAATAAGCTTCCTACTGATCAGTTTTCAGAAGCTCTCCTCTGAAACTGGGCCCTAAGAATCTAAACAGGAGACTTAAAATCAGTGGCTGACTTGAAAAATACTACCCAAATGTGCTTTGCAAGTTTGAAACAACTCAACAGCAGTCATTAGCTCCTTGCATTGAGGCACAGATTCAGCCCCTGCTTCAAAACCTTCCATGCTGCAGTAATTTTACTTGAGAAAGGTCTCTTTTATAGAAGATTTGAAGAGAGCCTTCATAGTTTATTTTCAGCAGTTCATGTAGAAAGATTCATCATTCAGCAATTGGATGCTCAGATTTGCTTGTAAAAGAAGATTCCCATGAGGCCCTGAAATTTACAGATTCCCTTCAAAACTCCTCCAAACACCAGAGGGATGAAATACAGAGTACTGAACACTGTGAATCCCTCACATCACTCAAAAGGCAACACCCCGTTATTAGAATAAGGTATTTGGGAGAAGCCCAATGAAAGGATGTCAAACCAATCTGAACTTCACAGTTTTCCCAAAGACAATATATCTGAGTTTTCCCAAAAAAAAAAAAAAAAAAAAGCTAATCCTGTTTGTCCGTTCTGCTCTTATCTACATTCCACTGTCTGGCAGTTGAGGCTAGTGTGCCACCATCTATTGCGACATGTTGCAATAGAGATGCAACTATAGTGTATACTGCAGCAGGTTAAGATTAAAACACAAGCAGAACTCAGCAGTGCAACAGCAGCATACTCAACAGCTATTCCCACTGTGAAACAGCAAGAAGTCACAGCACAGTACAACAGCAACAGTGGCTGCATCATCATATTAATTCCCCTGGGGCCCCTAGATGTTGGTGGCAGAGCTAGAATGAGGATATAAAATGAGACAATCCTGGACTACTAATTCAAATCTTTTTTTCTTCTTTCAGAAAATTTTTATCTTCCTTTCTCTATGCAGAGGGTAACTGTGGTGACACACTCACCATTTGACTTCAACCATTTTTTGGAATGGAGGTAACTTTCCAACATCCTTTCATTGAACAGCATATAACCCATTGGTTCAGAAATTACCACATCAACACTCTCAGGCAGGGAGATCTCCTCAATTTTTCCAGACAGAACTGTGATCGTGTCAGAAAGGTTGTTGCTTCTCACCAACAGCTGGACGAAAAACAAAAGCACACAGAAAGTGTTGACTCCTCTGATTAGCAGAATTTATACCAGAGATCTTTAATTAGCATTAAACCTCGTATAGTGTAAAGCAACTACCTCAGTCTGTTAATCAGAATAAAATAGAAAGGAAACATATTTTTCCTTGCTACACCAAAATTTCTAAAGACTGGGGCTCACTGGAGAAAACTCAAAGAAATGCATTGTGTGGAATCAGCAAGTGACAGTACAAGTACTGTTGTCCTGTAAGAGATAACTGTAACCAGTATGTATGAGAAAAAATATCTACCAGGAAAAGGTGGATATTTTAATTCACCATAAAAGATTACAAAGAAAGGGTCTTCATAATTCTCCAAATTTTTAAAAATACTGTTCTTGAGTAAGTTACATAGTCATGAAAGGACAAAGAAACTTGAGTTGAAAAGTTCGCAATGAGTAATTTCTAAGCATAAATGGAGCATAGCACTATATTCACATAAACACATACAAATGGGTCAGTACTTAGAGCCAGGATACTTGAGATTTTTCCACTTCTATGTGCATAGTGAACCTTGGAGCAAAATGACTAATGAACTGAAGAAATGGACCTAAAATTTTATGTTTGATACAGAAGTCATTAAGGAAAAGAACAACTTTTTCAAAGCCTTTATATATCTATACATAGATGCATATCCTATTTAGCTGTACTGTACTTAGACATACAGGGAAATACCTAAACTTCTTATCTTTAAATAATGAGTAGAATCTGGGTTCTTCTGGAACAAACTTATAAAGAAGCAATTATTTCACACTAATCTGAGGTGTCTGGTGGGGCATTCTATAAAATGAAGCATCCTTTGCAACAGCACAGTAGGACATTTGTATTGATGTCCTGAAGTACCATGAAAAACAAGCATACACAATCCAGTAAGTAATAGAAAACACTCACTCACAGATGTACTTGCACTGGTATAATTGTAAAATCAATAGAAGTGCATAATTACTTCCGAAAACCTTATCCAAAACAGACTGGGCCTTAGGTAATAGTGATGAAACTTATGTCTCATTCTGATTAGAGAAAGAGAAACTAATGTTGTTATTAGCTAATTCACTGGAATGTGAATAAGCTAAAGCAGTTAGTAAAAAACTAAACCCAGAACAACTTATAGAACAGACCAGAACACTTCATAAAGCCCTGATAATTTTATGGTCCTATATCAAATACTTGAATTATTTAGCTTCCTTCAAACAAAGCGAAATGCTAGCTATTAAATACCTTCTCAACAGTATCCAGCGGAATTATAGCACCTTCTTTGCTTACAGCTAACCTAATAATCAGAATCATAGAATGGTTTGATTGGAAGGGACCCTATGGATCACCTAGTTCCAACTCCCCGGCCACAGGCAGGGACACCTTCCACTAGACCAAGTTGCTCAAAGCACCATCCAGCCTGGCCTTGAACACTTCCAGGGATGGGACATCCACAGCTTCTCTGGGCAACCTGTGCCAGTGCCTCACGACCCTCACAGTGAAGAATTTCTTCTTAATACCTAATTCAAATCTACTGTCTTCCAGTTTAAAGCCATTGCCCCTTGTGCTATCACTACATGCGCTTGTACAAAGTCCCTCCCCAGCTTTCTTGTAGGCCCCCTTTAGGTACTGGAAGGCTGCCAGAAGGTCTCCGCAGAGCCTTCTCTTCTCCAAGCTGAACAACCCCAACTCTCTCAGCCTGTCTTCATAGGAGAGCTGCTCCAGCCCTCTGATCATCTTCATGGCCTCCTCTGGACTCGCTCCAACAGGTCCATGTCTTTCTGGTGTTGAGGGCTGCAGAGCTGAAGGCAGTACTGCAGGGGGGATCTCACCAGGGCAGAGTAGAGGGGGAGAATCCCCTCCCTCGACCTGCTGGTCACGTTGCTTTGGATGCAGCCCAGGACACGGTTGGCTTTCTGGGCTGCAGGCACACATTGCCGGGTCACATTGAGCTTCTTGTCAACTAGCACCCCTAAGTCCTTCTCCTCAAGGCTGCTCTCAATCCATTCTCCACCCAGCCTGTATTTGTGCTTGGGATTGCCCCAACCTATGTGCAGGACCTTGCACTTGGCCTTGTTGAAATTCATGAAATTCACACGGGTCCACCTCTCAAGCCTGTCAAGGTCTTTTTGGATGGCATCCCTTCCCTCCAGTATGTTGACCGCACCACACAGCTTGGTGTTGGCAAACTTGCTGAGAGTGAACAGTGCTGGTCCCAATACTGACCCCTGAGGAACGCCACTCGTCACCAGTCTCCAATTGGACATCAAGCTGTTGACAAAAACACTTTCAGTGCAACTGTCCAGCCAGTTTCTTGTCCCACCATCAAATCCATGTCTCTCCATTTTACAGCCAAGGATGTCATGTGGGACAGTGTCAAATACTTTGCTCAAGGCCAGGTAGGTGGTGTCAGTTGCTCTTCCCTTATCCACCAATGTTGTACCCCCATCATAGAAGGCCACCAGATCTGTCAGGCACAATTTGCCCTTAGTGAAGCCATGTTGGCTGTCACTAATCATCTCCTTATTTTCCACATGCCTTAGCATAGTTCCCAGGAGGATCTGCTTGATGATCTTGACAGGCCCAGAGATGTGACTGACCAGCCTGTAGTTCCCTGGGTCTTCCTTTTTTGCTAATATGATAATAAAACTACTAAATGAAATAAAAATCATTGTACACTAACATGCTGTCAATTAGGTAAATAACATTGCTGCTTCTTTTACTGACAAGTGTTTGTATTCATTTCTAAGAACAGGTTGACAGATTTTGATCTAAGGTCCTTTAGATCAGAGGCTACGTGAGCAGACACATAATGTGATTCTATTTTGGAAATGAAATTACCATTTTGCTCACAGGTGAATTCTGAACCTAAAAATAAGTGTCAAATAACAGCTCAGCAGCAGCACGGATGTACAAAGGCAAGATGTCTAAATCATTTCAGACCCTCACACACCGCCACAGGTAACTCACATAGTTGGCTAGAGGACAGCAGAATATTACAATATCTCTATCACATACAGTGGAGATGCTTATATTATGAAAATTTTTACTTTTACTGGAAATAGTAGCATGGAGACAAATAGAAAAGATTTTTAATTGCTATTCTGTATTATTATTATTATTATTATTATTGAGATAACTTTAAAAAAATCGATGTTTATTTGCTTTCCTACCCTTAGATAAAGCAAAAACAAAGAAAGAAAATTCAAAGAAACACTGTCAGTACTAATCATCTCCTTTAGAGTGTATCTATGACTTGGGAAAGCTAAAGTTGTCTGTGCTTTGGGCCTTCTGAAGCTTAACATAGATAGAAACTGCATTTTCGAAAGGAATTTAGCTGATGTCAGGTCTTGGTCACAGAGCCTCAGGGAACAGAAACCTCTGTTTATTCACAGAAGCTTCTTCTCTGTGTCCCACCAATACACTCTGACATTGGTCTGAAAAATCAAGGCAATTTTGCATCTACCAAAATCTCAGTCTGTGTAGCAAGATTGTCAGGAAGTCAATGAATGCAAGTTTAAGCAAGTATTTTTACATGTATATCTCAGACAGACCAGATTAAAACACTAATTTATTTCAGTGAGAAGATCACTTGTTTTATGGCAGCTATTTTCTTGGTGATTTTTACAGCTGCTTAATTAGAGTTAATTAACAGTTCATATCTAGCTGGATTGGTGGCAATGAAAAGCTAGTTTTGAACGTTTGAAACATTTAACTTTTTTAAATTATTTTTGAAACACAAAGATGATTTTTCTGCAACTGAAATTTACCATGCATTGGTGAACTCTGATTAGTGGCTCATTGTCACATGAACAAAAGCAAAAATCTATTAATTGACATTAAATATTGGAGAATTACAGTCTCCCACAAATTCCATGCATCTCTTTTGTTCAAGAGGAAGATTCTACAGAACAGGAATAATTTACAACAGATACAGAACAGAAGTGTATTATATTAAATGCACATAAAAGATTGGTAACTTCTACTTCCAAGCAATATTAGTCCAAGCCTGAGATTTAAAAATAAATAAATAAATAAATCACTTTGAGGAGGCCATAAGCTAACAGCTATAAACTAACTCTTTGTCTCAGCTACCTTCATCTTGTTTGAACTGACCTTATTTTTGACAGGATTATTAAGTTAATTCACCCTTTGCAGCACCTTCATGAACTGAGGGTTTTAAACATAGACAGTCATTTCTGCCATCACCAATGTGACATTGCTGCTCAGGCAGGAATATTGGCCACAACATTTAAAAGATATGCCTTAAACGAAGTATTTCTTCATGTCTTATACTGAAATCCCTCAACCCATATCTTCATCTTGACAGCTTGCTGTTGTTAACTAATCTAAATTGAAGCTTCTTTTTAAAATATTAGCAAATTTTGTGCCTTTTAAAAAAAATCTTATTGGCAAATGTAGAACAGGCCATGAAGGGTGATGGCGGTAGAGCTTTTTCACTCAGTGCCTTTGGGAATCCATATCTGTGGCAAAAGGAGAGGAGGTATATCTCAGCGGGCGTGTTAACGTTTTCACCTCCCACACAGTATTTCATAAATTCCTGCAACTACCAAGTTATGGTCAGCACAATGTGCTTGAACAAAAGGAGTGAAGTAGTTTCAATATTTCATAGCTTTAGTGAAGGAAAAAAAATCCAGGGAAAAAAAAAATTCCACCCAGTATCTTACAATTTTGTCAATGACTGAAAGGAGTGTGTTGTTTTCAACAGCTGTGCTCTCTCATGATTCTCCTGGATTTCAGAAGACTTTGAAAGCAGGGCAAGATTACAGTGATGGAGGATAAAATTGTTACCTTAAAACAAAATACATACACTTAAATTTGTATCTGGTATATGCACGCACTTCAAATGAGTTGCATCAGTCTGCCACCAAATGTGGCCATGTTGGGTGTCCTGGCTATTTTTCCTCTACCTTTTTTCATGCAGCATTCATGAAAATGAAATGCTCACAAGTCTTTGATA